TAGGCCCGAACAGTACAGCCTTGAGCAATGCATTTTAACACATCTGTACATGAATCAACATTGGTGTCACGCCCTACTCATGATTCATACTTCTTGCTTGCGTGTAAAACCTCCGCGTTTGTGTGAGCCATGGGCAGTTTGGAAGATTCTGCTAGGGGATTAGCTACCCCACTAGTAGCTTCTGCTTCTATGCCTGCTGGTTCACACCAGCAGGTACCTTATTTGGGGTCCTTATAATAAGGATCCTACTACTTAGGGTACTATATTAGGGTCCCCTATTTTCGGAAACCCCCATATACTATGCACCTGGGGGGTTAGGGTAGGGTCCTTATTGCAACCGAGGAGCTGCCCACAGGCTGCCGCGGCCAGGGTGCTGAGCCCAAACGTGACACCGAGCGTCGCATCGATGGCATTGCCCGCGTGCAACATCACCTAAAAAGGCTGCCATAATCTAGGGGCCTTGATAATTAAAATAAGGTTTTGGGGCCCATTATACTCTAATTATAATAAGGAAGCCCCAAAACATCAACAGGCCGCAGACTGTTTTTGCAGGTCCGTGGTTTCGACTCTCGCAACTCGCACGAGGCCTGCGAGGGGGCTCTTTAGATCCATGCCAGGCAACAGGACATACGGTCATTGAAATCAAACTGGGAAGTGAAGGCCCTGCTGTAACGTGCCGTCCCTGAGAAGCTCGCCGTATTGTCCATGAAACCGAAAGCCACCATCGGAACTGCCTCAGTTCCAGCCGTTCAAATGACTAATTTGAATTCGAGGAGTCTTGACGGTTGGAGACAAGTGAAGAGATGTAGCCTGTGTCCAACGGGTGTGGTCACTCACCTCTAACTATCAAATATCAATGAGACAGATTCAGCCACAGCCATACGGAGTAATGCTCAGGCCGACACCGAGTTCAACAGGTGAGCTCGTAGCTGCCCTTGGCACATCGCGCCGGGGCAAGGAACGGTGCCCTACTTGCTTACTTTCTTTCGGAATCATGGGGAGCGGCCATACAACTCCACGAGCTTGATAACTCTTAGCGCTTGGGGCTCAGGAGCTGTTCATGATGAAGGGTGCGGGCTGGTAGTTTTGATGCTTCACTTGTTTAGGAGAGCTCTCGGGGCAGGAGAACAAGCATTCAAGACAGTAAAATCTCTATGCGAGCACCTGTTTAATTTCCGCGCACCAGTCAACATAGCTGACATAGGCTTTGCTCTTCTGCTTTTGAAGCCTGATCACGTACAGTAATGGGAGGCATCTTGGCGGATTCGAAGTTGACTGGGGCAAAGGTTCGGGGCCTACAGGTTCAGACTGTTCTTTTAAGTTCTGGGAACTGCGGTTGAAGGCTCTAGGTGCTACTGTTTGCCCATTCAGTGGATCTCGAAGGTTTCCGGGTGTCGACAGTCACAGTGGTAACTTGCCCGTCATGCGCCGCACACAACCGTACATGCAACACATTGGAACTCCTGGTACTTACTATCGCTGACTTCCCCGTTCGTAAAACCCACGATCCCGTTGTGCATGTTCGATTCCAGCCAAGGCACAACCCTCGGGTTTTGTCGGGGTGACTGGACTAGTCGTGGAAGATGCCCCGACGGCCCCCAAGGTCTTCCGACCTGGACTCGCACTCTGACCACGCCGAAGCAAAACCTTGCTTTTCCTGCTTGCGCAGACATCCAACGAGTCCACGTACAAACTTGCATCACTTGGACCTCGCTGGCTCGTATTCACCTTCGAGGCCCATGCAAAGTAGGTTCGGAAGCAGCCGCCGGCCCTGTATACGGGCACATGTCAGCGCCATGGCTCAACTTAGCACCACGTAGTTGGCAACCGGACGAAAATCAAGGCACCATCGAACATCACCGGCACGAGCCTGAAACGAATGCTAAGCTTAATGTAGTCTCTGCATGCACGACATGCCGAAGGCTATCTGGCGAGCATTTCCTTGGCCCAGTGGCTGCCGGGGGGTTTACCGCATCGCCGGCTCTGCCCAGAATGTGGGACTGGAAGCTGGAAACCTTGAGAACGCCCCGTTAGGGCCCGTTTTTACTGGTCTCCTGTCGGGACGGCGAGAACCGATACCTGCCGAGTTTGTAACCCCACTATGTTTGTGTTGTCCATTTTCATGATTTATCAAACTTTGCACATGAGCAGCAGAATCTGTGAAAGAACCAATGGCCAAAGCTAGCGAGGGGTGGGCACTCCAAGGTCTTTCAGAAGTGAACGCTCAGAAGCGAAACCGGTAAGAAGTTGGAGGTTTGTTGCCCTCCGATTGTTGGCGCGGGCACATGCAGCCAGTACGCCTGCTGTCCGGATGCGCATGCCGCATAGGTGCATTGGTGTAATCGTGACCGCACGATACCAAGTTGGAGCACTGGGGCCTTTACAAAAAAAGCAAGTTTTCGCGCTGTCGCACAAGAACATGCGACGAAAAATGCCATCGCTAGGGCTGCGCGTGGTTTTCAGCTTTCGCACATCTCGGTGAATTATCAGCACCGGACTCGACTTTCAACCCCCGGAAACTTCAAAGCTACTGAGCTCAAACATTGCATGGGCAAATTTGTCGGGGCCCTCATGCGCGACCAACGGCCCACTCACCACTCTCACCATCAACAGACACACAACACAACGCACACAAACACGGATATGATCGGGAGATTAGGGAGTGCGGCACAGCGGGAGCCGCGTCCCGTGATTGCTTGATGATACAGGCAAGGACGAAACTCGGCTCCGACATTGATCGGACATGTAGCGGCTGCGCGGCGCACCGCTTTGCACAAGCTGACGTCCCACAGCCAACCATGCGAGTGCTGTTGGAACAAGTCAACCGACCGTGAGACTTCGAAACCAGCCTCGGCAAGTGCATCGGAAGCCTGCAAAAGATCCTGGACATACGCAACACCGCTGCTTGAACAAAGGCTAGCACCAAAAAGTTGACCAACTGTGCGTCCGACACGCAGAAAAAAAACGGCTGCCATATCGGCCCGGGACTCCCCGAACGCTGCCGGCCGCGACCACTATGACGAAGAACCCGTCGCTTCAGCTGGCGGATGCTGGCGGCAAAGGGGACGACCCGTCGGCAAGCAACAGCCTTGAAACTTTTAGGAGCTGTGAGCACACGAGCATCGTATGCGAGTGCAACATCCCGCGAAATGCGGTGCGCTGGGCATGCATCGCGCGTTGTGCGATGCCATCTCCGCCGTTCAGGCCCGTGCAGATTTGCGATGCCTTTGGTGACTTCGGTGCCGCTTGGTGCAGGAGCTGCACTGGGACCCAACGACACGGCACCGTGGCCATGAAAAGTGCGAGAAAAATGAATTTTGCCTCCTTGACGCGCGCATATCTCGACAGCAATCAACAATGGGCAAGCCATGCAACCTTCGGTCGGCCCAATGCCGCCGCATGTATTCCAATTTTTTCTTTTCCAACGCCTCTTTTCTGCCTGCCCATGTGCTATCTCGCTATGCTGCCAGGGGCAGACTTGCGACACGTTTCCATTAATCTTTATCTACATGCCTACGAGAGCCAAGTCGCTAACCGCTACAGTCGCAGTGGAAAGCGACTAGCGCTCGCAGGTCCTGCAGGCTCGAGCACTCGCTCAAGGGGCGGCGCGTCCCTTTGACACGGATGGAGCATGATGGAGCGGAGCCGGCCAGGCCTGCCCCAGTGCCGTGCTCGCGACGGCTTGTTGCACGGCCACGCCCCACCAACGGCGCGACCAGCCCGCAGGGCTGGCGGAGCTCTGTGCGACCGGACGTGGAGCAGGTAATGCACGAAGCGGCAGGCCTCACAATATCTCACAATTCCAGCGCCGAGCCCAGGACGACGAGCTGTCAGCAGCTCGTGGCTGTGGATGCTACGTCCTCGTGCGTGGAGAGACGAGGGTGGCGTCGCAGCACAACGCGCCTCCCCGCGGCGTGGCGCCGTCGGCTCGGGCCAAGCTCGCTCGACGATTTTCACGCGGCGGGCCAACAACCCTGTGTGGGGGCAGGCGAGGGCAGGGTCCCCGTACTGGTTTACCTGCAATCCACAGCCGGGGCTTGGGCCGCAGCAGGGTTGAGGGGCAGGGGCAAGCGCAACTCGCGCCGCAACGCAGCAGCATGGCCTGCGGGGCGATTATTAGCGAGAGCCCGGCACCTGCGTGTGGACCGCCTTGCGAGCGTAGCCGGGCCGGCGGGACGCTACCTGGAGAGCCGGTAGCAGCATGCGGTCGCGATACTAAAGGTTTCGAGTGCGCGTCGCGTGAAACTGCCAGCCATGCGCAACTCTCCCGGGCCTGCATCACACGGTTGCGGCCGGGCGCCTTCGTAGGCAGCACGCCAGCTCTGGCATGCCTCCCAATTGTGCAAGACGTTTCGTATTGCAGCAGCTTCGCGCATGCATAAGATCGTGCCCTCGGCGCCTTGCTTCAGAGCCGCCAAGCAGCGATCAGCCGGCAGGCGAGACCGAATGAGAGGGAGCGAGTCCATCCAATTCCATCCATGCTGCCCGGTATGCTGCTGGGGGCGTGTGCTCCGGTGACTGTAGCCGAGCCCGCTATAAACGGCTGGCAGCGACGCGATTGGCCAGGCCTGCTGTGCCTCGACCCCCTAGACAGTCTTGGACTGTCTCGCAAATGGCCTGGTCATGCGCATGCGCGTAAGATGCCGATTCAGACAGAAGGATTGTTCGCAACGCGTAGGACAATAATTACCCGGCCCGCACACAGCTGCGCTCAGCGTGTACAGGGCACTGGTGCACCAGGTGGCCCGCCAAAAGTTTTTTGAATGGGACTTCGTGGCCGTCAGTCGGGTCACTTGGACCCGCATTGGGCAGGTCAACGAGCCCGCGTGGCTGGTGCGCGTGCGCTGCACGCACAGCAAGCTGCATGGCGCTGTTGCTGTCCCTAGGCCCAGTCCGCGCATGCTGGAGAGTACAGCAGCGAGGCTTGATTGGGGCCGAGGCCGGGGAATCGCATTTCACCATCTCCGGCCAACAGTCTCGCAAGCAAGCGTCGGACCGTGGCACCATGCTGAGCGGGGACGTCTGCAGTGTCGGCCGTCGCCCAAAACCAAGGCCAGACCAGGTAGGCATGTCAGGGCATGCGGCTGGCAAAAGGAGGCGACGCCGATGGTTTGGTGAGAAGGTCGCTGAGGAGCGGAGGATCCCCGTCCGCATTTTGCTGCACCGGAAAGCGGCAGGGAAAGGAGGCTGGTCGCGAAGGCCCGGGCAGCGGCAAAGGCGAGCAGAGCTGACCACCGAAGTACGTAGGCAGATATGCATGTCACAAATTTTGAAGCGAGCCCCGAGCACAAGATGTTGCTCCATCGCGCGGGGCGTCCCGAGCACACGGGATCACAGCCAATCCCGAGCGACCCGGTTATTTCCTTTACCTCGGGGAGCTTAGAACGGTTCTACCAATCTCCCAAACACTAGGGCGTAAACTCCACTTATTTTTTGTTTCTTCTTTCGTGGCCCATGGGGTGTCCCATATACTCACTTTCTTGATCTTGGCCTTCTCACCGCCCTTGCCGGGCTTGCTTGTCAAGGCCCGCCGATCTGTCTTATGTGTCTTATCTGGCTTGCCACGTTTAAGCTTCGACTGCTTCTGCGGCTCGTCGTCGCTGTTGCTATCGTCATCATCCATATTCTCCGTCTCCGTGCGATTCGACTTTTTGCCAAACATAGGCTTGTTCGAAGCGTGAACCTGCATGGCCTCTTGCAAATCCAAGTCGGAGCGGGATCTGACTTGGCACCTCATGCATGCACAGCTTAAATAAATACTTATGGACAAGCACAAATAAGCGAATGAAGCCAAAAGACCTAGAAAAGTTATAATCTTCAAGCACAAATTAATAAGTGAATTAAACTATGGAAGTTATAGTCTGTTAAAGAGGCTACCAAAAGACCTCTGGATTTTTTGGTTAGGGTTTACGGGTTTGGGAAGTTATATGGAAGATATGATTTTTGTTTTAATATTAGGCTTAAGGATTTACGGGACATGAACACATGCACGTACCAACTCAAATTCCAAACTCCATGCGTTCATATCTAGGGGCTCTTGCTTCTTGTAGTCTGAGGCTTCCATCATGACATTCACAAAATACTTCAATGGACCCCGTGGAAAGTCTTCGTCCTCCACTCCTTGCTTGATGGCTGCGATCCACTCACACTTCTCCTTCGGGAAGTAGTACGGCTTCTTACTCATCTGGCGGAGGGTCAAGCACAATCGAACCTTCTTGCTACCAGATCCCTTTGTAGACGTGATCTGCAAGTC